CACAGATTCGCACCTCTCTCCTCTCTCTCTCTCTCTCTCTTTTCTAGGCATGTAGGCATGTTCAGTAGTAGAACATTTACCTAGCATTCAGTTTGATCGTCAACACCAGAAAAGAAAAAACATCAGCGGTTAGAAGTTCTGTGTGGCTCTGGTGTAGTCTCTTCAGGAGAATGTAAAAACCCGAGAAGAGTCGGGCGTTGGTGGTGCACTCCTTTAATCCCAACACTCGGGAGGCAGAGGCAGGTGGATCTCTGTGAGTTCGAGGCCAGCTTGGTCTCCAGAGTGAGTGCCAGGACAGGCTCTAAAACTACACAGAGAAACCCTGTCTTGAAAAACAAACAAACAAACAAAACCTGGGAAGAAGCACAAGGGTCAAGAGGAGCTTCTGAGATTTCCCTGTGAGGGCTTTTTTTATTATTATTATTATTTTGAGACTGGGTCTCATTGTATAGCTGTGGCAACCTGGAACTCCATATGTAAATCAGGCTGGCCTGGAACTCACAACAATCCACCTGTCCTTGCCCCCCCCCTGCAAGTGTGGGATTAAAGGTGTGTGCTCTAATGCTCAGTCAGTTTTTTGTTTTGAGACAGAATTTCAGATACTCCAGACCTCAAAGCTGCTATGTAGGTGAGGATGACCTTGAACTCCTGATCCTCCTGCTTCCTCCCCCCAAATGCTGGAATTACTGATTCTCCTGCTTCCTCCCCCCAAGTGCTGGAATTACAGGCAAGTGACGTCAAACTCAACTGAGGGTTTTTTATTTTTAAATAAAGACAGGACTGTCGGATAAGTTCGGATAGAACACAGGTTCCACAAATAGCAGAATAAAGGCCTACCTGGGACCAAGTCACATTGCCACACATTCTGTGTCCTCCTTTCTCCCTCAAGAGGAAAACATATACAGGCCCCACCATTGCCAGCACCAATTGTAGGGTGCAGCATTCCCCACCACTCCAAACACTGAGAAGCCACTGACAGTAGCATTGAAGTAGCATCACGACTAAAGATTCGTATGTGGCAGGCACTGTGCCAACAGCCTTCAGCTTTCCTGGTCATACCCGTTTACAGATGGGAAAACTGAGACTAGGAGGGACGTGTTAGGTCTAGATCCAAATCTTAAAAACAAGTGACTCCAAGAT